GCATGGCTTTTCAGCACCCTATGAGAAAGTTCCACGTGGCAGCTTCGCATTGGGGCTTGAGATGCTATATTAAGCCTAGGGGGGGCATCCGAGGGATGAGTAGAAGAAATATCAAGGGCCTGAATAAACCGCTGAAAGAAGATTCCCGAGTTGCGTCTTCCTTGCGGGCAAGGGGTCGAGACACTACCCCACACAATCTGGGTGTGAAAAAGGCCACCATTCACATCTGTAAGCATGTTATGATGTCTGCACAGTGACGGAACAGGCAAAAAGAAAATGTCCCTGCCACTGACACAGAACCTTACTCAAGAACTGAAAACATACAGAACCACCAAAAACAAGGAAGAATCCACAATTACACTCAGGGACATCAGCCCAACTCTGTCAGGACAATGATGCAGGCAGGAGGGCTTCATGGGCCTTGAAGCAAATGGGAAGCACACTGAGGTCTCAGGGTCACAACAACACTGCACAGGACATAAACCACACCCCTACAAGTGCACCACCAGTGAAATCCCATGTATGCTCAAAGAACATGAGAGCTAAAGCAGAAATCAGATCAGAAGCAGCTGAAAAGCCTCCAGGGAAGGGGACGTGAAACACAAGACTCTAAGCAGACACAGGACAAAGAGGGGACTCAAGAGAAAAGGTGACCATTTTGAAGGAAAAAATGTAAAAGTCCATCACAGGAAATTCTTAGAGAACACCAGAGGTGGTGCTGTATTGCTTTCTAAGTCATGCAACACACATTTCACAAAAGAAGAGCTAAAAACAATCATTGAAACTGCCACTTCAGAAAAACAGAGAAAGAAGAGCAAGGTAAACCTAAATTAACCACAGGAAGGTAACAGAAGGTGTGGATAAAACCACAACCTGGAAATCTGCAGTCTACAATATCAAGTTCTTCATGAACATCAGCATCACTGATACACTGACATAAGGCTAAGAATACAGAAGACAGGGACTGGGGTTATGGCTCAGTGGAAGAGTGCTTGTCTACTGCTTGGGAGAAAGTGGGTTCAAACCTCACTGACACATAAAAAGAAAAAAGTGTAAAATATACAATAACATTAAAGAAAAAAGCAAAGAAGACTGAAAACCTAGTAACACATTTAAAAGTATCATCGTCAACAATGCATTGGGACTTCAAGATTATCATAAACGTGCTTCGTACAAATTAGACAAGTTGCAAAAACTGGACCATTTATTTGAGAGAGACAATCTCATATAACTTACACACAAGGGGAAATACATAAAACAGATGAGCCCATGACTACTGAAAAAAACAGACTCAATAACTAATTACTACCCAAAAAGGCAAGGCAAGGGCCTTACATCTCAAACAGGCTTCCATGAGACACTGAAGAACTGCCACCAATTTTCTACATTTTTTTCCAGAACATAGAAGCTGAGTTAACACCTCCTAATTCTTTCTGAGGTATAAGTTACCATATTATCCAAATTAAATAGATAAAGAAAAGTGTTAAATAGAAAACAAAACTATGAATGATGCTCATAATCATGAATGTAAAAAACTGTACAATGAAGTCATCACACTCCAGGGGTCTATGCAAATGACTGGGAAATTATGGGCACAGGAACCCTCACTGCAGTGACTACAGCAGACATATCCAGAACTTCTCAAAGCTAGATGCAAGGAAGATGCACCTTGCAATACTGGATGGACAAGCTGCAGTTTATCCACATCAAAGTACATCACCCAGAAAATGAGCTCTCCAGCCTGGAAAGATACAGCACCCTTAAAGGCAGACTGGTAAGAGAGAGAAGCCAGTTTGAAATGGCAAAGTGCAGTAAGATTCCAAGTCAAGAACATTCTGGAAAAGACAACATTATAGATGCACTAGCAGAACTGATGGGTACCAGGGACTCAGGGAGCAGAGAGGGAGGGAGCAATGAGGAGGAGTGATTGACAGGGGGAACACAAAATTCCCAGAGCAGTGAAACTCTTCTGTATGACATTATCTTGTAAACTACGTAACACACACAATCACATCACACAGAGGAGGAACCGTAAGGAAAAGAATGAACTTTGGCTTATCATAACATGTTGCTTCATCCATTCTCCTTATCAAATATTCAACAATGGTTTAGTAACCAACAAACACCCTACACCAATGCAATATGTTGAAAACAGTGGAGACTATCAGCTGGAGAGAAGGGGTATTCGATTCTATGAGTAATGTCACATTTAATTGTCACCTTGATTGGATTAAAAGATGCCAATGATTAATGACCTTATGGGTGTGTCTATAAATGATTGGCATGTGGAACAGTGAACCAAACTGGAGAACCTCCTCAAGCTAGGCAGCACCATCTAATAGGACGGTGACTTGGGTGAACAAAAGTTGGAAGAAGAAGGAAGCTGCAGCAGAGCAAGTTCCTTTCTTCTCCAATTTATTCTTGATGGCTGATGCAGTGGCCTGAGGATATCAGACTCTGCCTCCTTCAGTCTCCCAAAGTGGACTCTGCCAGTGATTCTCCAGGGAGTTTCTAAAACCTTTGGTCTGGACTAGGGAAGTACCATTGATCCCTCTTGTTCTGCAGCTTCAGCCTCTTGGACTCTGCAGCCAGCACTCCTAAAACTCTCCAGCTGCAGATGGCCACTGTGGACATCCAGCTTCCCGTCAAGTAGGCCAATCTAAAAGTCCTCTTTTATAATCATACTTCCTCTTGATGCTGTTCCTCTAGAGAACACTGACTAATAAACTATGTAAGTCAAAAATTGCTCTGAAAAAAATAAAGTTTATGTCATAAAGAAGTGATAACTACCAAGCCCTGAAGTTTTACAAATATATAGATGAGAAACAATTTTATATGCTAAATACCATTTTCATAATAATGCAAAAATAAAGCAAAGAGGAAGAGTCAGAGTAACAAATTTCAAAACTATGGACAAAAGCAATAAAAATAATTTTCAATACTGTTTCCATCTCAAAAGAAATTGGATGATAAGTCTTCAAAAGTCATTGTGTGCTCACTCACACAAAGTGTTAAGTTTCACTGTGCTTAGCAAAAACAAAGGGGTTCTGTGAGAAACTATGAACTCTTTGAACTGTGTTCTTGTTGCCATCTTAAGAAGATAAAAGAATGTTCTGCAAGTTTAAATATATATATATATTTGTGTGCTTGCCAGGAAATAACTAACTACAACTAACTACAAGTAGTATAATAAGAAGTATGGAGCACTGTGACCAGTAACAAAGTTATTCTGAGAATGTTTATCCATGCTGGAAAAGATTAAGCTGCCAAGAGGATGTGTTTCTTTTTTGCTATATAAAAGGGAAAAAAAATAAAAAAAATTCCTTGTATATGTGTGTGTGTGTGTGTGTGTGTGTGTGTGTGTGTGTGTGTCTTTCAGCATCTCTGCTGTTACCGCCTGATCAGGAACTACAGATTGTCAGCAGGGTCTGACAAGTCATTCCAACTGCTGGTGTGGTGGTGTGCACCTGTAACTTCAGCCAATAGGTAGGTTAAGGTAGGGAAATGACAAGTTGGAGGCCAGTCTCACCAACTTAGCAAGACACTCAGAAATTTAGTGAGACTGGTCTTCATTAAAAATTAAAAGAGGGTACTGGGATTGGAGCTGAGTGGCAGAGCACTTGCTAGCATGTGTGAGGAAAGGGGTATGATCCTCAGCACCAC